GTACCTGAGGGTGGGCAGGACTTGAGTGGATGAGGGAGACCGTACCAAGAGGAGCTACTGGTCAAGTGCAGAAGCTGGCCTGGAGTGGAACCCCCTTCCTGCTCCGGGGCAGAGGCCACAGCCAGGATATGTCAAGACATCTTAGGATGTCCAAGTGTTTCTGCCTCAGCCAGGAGAAGCCACTGACATTTGGGTGGCCCTTGGGTGAGGTGGGGCCAGGCCCCACAAGGCTGGAACATATGCTGGGTGTTAGCTGGGCCGGGCCCCCCAGGGCCAGGGGGAGACAAAGCCGCCCCAACTCGGGCACATCCCATCCTCCTGGGAAGCCATGAGGGGTCATGCCTGCCTGCCGGCGATGTGGGGGCAGACTCTGGGACCTCAAGTCGGGGTTTTCCGTTGCATCAGGAGCAAGCAGGGCTGCCAGCAGGAAGGAGGGTGCAGACCCTGGGCGGTGGGTGGGGCTCGCAGCGGGGCTGGGGTTCCCAGGGCCCCCTACCCAGACGGGGGCATGCGGGGACACCATGCTTGGCCGCGCCAAGCCTGGATTCACTTTGCACCCCACCTCTGATCCGCGGAGACCCTGGGCGGGGGCCGGCTCAGCTGCACTCAGGGGCAATTGTGTGGCTTCTGGGAGAGGCTCTTTCTTCTTTGAGTCTTCCACTTATTTTGTTTTTAATTGTAATTTAAAAGGAACATAAAAAAAACTTAATGAACTGTGGGAAGCCCTTCTTTTGTACCATGAAGAAGAGTTGATCGAGTCCCTGGGGCGGCCGGGGAGGGGGGCGCCTCCTCTTCATAGAGAAGTCCTGGGTTTGATGTTAACACCCACCCCGAACAGTCCTGGCAGCCAAGCCTCCTCCCGTCCCCGGGCCTCATCTGCAGCCAGACACCCACAGCAGGCTCTCGTCGGGGGCGTCTAACTCCCACAAACTGGCTCTGCCCTTCCCCCCAACATGAGACCCCCAGGAGTTGGGGCGGCAACCCTGATAGCACTCCTTGGTCTGAGAAAAATCTCGAAAGAGCGCTCCGCTCTCTGCGGCTCCGCCCAGAAAGGACTGTTTCTCAAGCAGTGGCTTGGGGTCCTCCTGGAAAGCTTCGTAATTTATCCAGCTTCCAGCTGCAAACAACAGACACCCCCACCTGCATTGCCGGGAGTCAGCAGGAAAGGGGTTCCCTCCCGTCCTCAGGGGTGGGGGAGCAGCCTGAGGTTGCTTAGTTCAGCGGCCCCGAGCAGCCCCGACCCTATTCCTTCCAGTTTCCCCCTCTGCACCCCAAAGCTCCCTCGTGTTCTCAGGATGGTTGCTGCCATCCCAGGGAGTGGGGCGGGAAAGGCCCAACCTTTCTGGGGGTCTCTTCGGGAGAGGAGATTCTCCCCAAATCCCCCCCATCAGACTTCTTACTCTCACGGACCAGAGCCGGGTTGCCCACCCCGGCTTCCACCGGTCAGAACCGGGTCACTGCTCCACCCACGACCCTTCTCCATCAAGAGAATGCAGATCCCTTTACGGGGACCGGTGGGGTGACCTCCCTGAGGTGGAACTAAAGAAACCCGTTTCTAGAATCCCTTCAGTAGACACTTGTTTGGGGCCCTTGGGCCGGACCCCTTCCTAACAACACCTGGTGGGGGGCTGAGCACCCTACTTGGCTGAGACGAGGCTGGCTCCTCCGGCCGGGGAGCCAAGTCCTTCTCCCCACTACGTTGTAAACAGCTCCACCCGTCCACGTCCAGGCCGTCCGCGGTGCCTTCACGCTGCGTGCTGGAGACCACGGACCAAAAACATTTCCAAAATGGCCCTTGACGGAAAGCGGGCCCCGCCTCTGGTGCAGATCGATAGAGCGTGATGCCCACCAGAGGGTGCAGCCCGCGCACACGGCTTGTCCAGGGCGACGGTGGAGAGGCAGGTGGGGTGGCTTGGATGGGAACACAGGGGTGTCTGCTTCGGCCCAGCTTTGCCCATTTCAAGCTGGATGTCTCGGGGGGGGGGCACCCCTAATCATCCTGCGGCTTGGCTCCCCAGCCATGAAAAGTCAGGCCTGTCTGCGAGGATGGAACGAGGCGACGGCCTTCGACGGGGGGCACAAAGCAACCCTAACGTGTGAGGTTCCCTGCAAGAATTTTCTAATGGATCTTGTGCCATTTAGACTTACCCCAAAAGAGACGGCCCAAGGGATTTGTGGTTTACTAATAAGAGTAAAAACATTGCGCTGCTCTTACAACAGCCAAATTACCCAAACTAGAGTCGGTCCTCGGAGCTTTGTTCCAGCAGAGCGGGCTGACCATAAAAACTCCGGAGCAGAGCCAGACAACGCGGCGGTGGTGGGTGGGGTGATGGGGTGACCTTTCTTGGGGTCTCAGAATCCAGGGCTGTCTCACTTCCTGGGGTCTTTGCTGTGGGTTGCTGGGTGGGGGGGGCTGGGCGAGGTGGGGCCTGGGGAGGCCCCCCCAACAAGTATTGAGGCGGCACCCCCGGAGGCTTTTTTAATATCAGAGCCGCCCCGTATTCTGAAAGATGACTGCCAAGCAGTGTTTTCATTCATTAATTTATTTTCCCTTTATTTCTAAACAATCAAAACCATGTGTATTGGCCAATCTGCTTTCCTGCTGGGACGGGCGGCCGAGGGACCGTGAGCACAGCACAGGCCGGCCGCGTCCTGGCTCTCTGCTCCCGGCTGCGCCCCGGGGACGCCCCCTCGGGGACTCAGCGCCGCACTGTGACATGGAGACCGCGACAGGGTCTCCCTCCTCCGGTCCGGAGAGGACTTGAGAAGGGCCCCTGAGATGGGCACACGTGCCGCCCCAGCGCCAGCGCCTCCCGCGCGCTCCACGGCACCAGTGACCAGGCGCCCGGCACGTGCAGCTCCCCGCTGCCAGGCAGGTACGAACCCAGTTTTCAGAAGAGCAGCCTGAGACTCAGAGAAGCTAAGTAATTTGTTCAAAGCCACACAGCCAGAGCGTGGCCGCGTGCACGCTGGATGGCTCCGGGACGCCAGCGAGCAGAAGCGCCGGGGCCACCAGACAGCAGCAAGGAGACCCGTGGGCGTCATGGCCGCGCCGCCCGAAGCAGAGACCCGGGACCGGTGGTGTTGCCGGCTTCTGAGAAACGGCCTTCTGCCCTTTCCAGTGCTGGCGGGAGCCCACTCAAGGCGGAGGCCTGGAAGACACCCTCACCCCAAACACAGCCCCAGCCAGGAGAAGGGGAGGCAGCCCAGGCCCCTGCCGCCCGCACCCCTTGCGGCCAGCAGAGGGCAGCAAGCTCCCTGCAGGGAGGCGGCCAGGCTGCGCGGCAGGGCCTGCCCCACCTGCTGTCACCAAGACCAGGAGCCAGCGCTGACCCTCCTGGCCTTGACTGGGGCCAGAGCCAAGAGCCAGACCCGCCTCTGTCCTCTGGCGCAGGCGGCCTAGTCCCGCGGCAGCCCCTGGGTTCCTCACACATCCCGCAAATTCCCAGGGCCCTGGGCGCCCAGGAGCAAAACCCCCACCCACTGGCTCTGCTGCAGGCCCGGATAGGGGAAGGCTGGGGTGACCCTCAAAGAGGACACCCCCGAGCCAGCGCCCTATGACTGTCCCCTCGCCCATGAGGGCAGCGGTGGGTAGCTCAATGGTCCAGGGTGTCACAGCAAGAGTCCTCCTGGGAGGGGGACAGGAGGGGCAGCAGCACAGAGGGCCTGTGACCCGGCCACAGAGGTGGGGGGGACGCACCTGGCAGGGGAGATGGCACTGGCAGAGCTGGCTCTGACACTAGGGAGAGGGGCCACCCCCCACCCAGGCACATGGCAGCTTCGAGGGGCTGCAGGAGACCAGGGGCCAGGTTCTGGGCAGGCACGGGACAGGAGTCCCCCAGGAGGTGGCAAAGGAGCAGCAGCAGGAGAGCACAGGCTCAGGTGACCGACCTAACTCAGCCTCACCAGTCACTCCGTGCAGGCGACTCGCGTCACTGAGCCTCAGTTTCCTCAGCTGTAAAAAGGAGAAGATGCTGCTTTTCCAATAGGGGCCGCAGAGCCTCACACTTAGTGGGTGCTCAAATAATGGGGGTGCACCTAAAGGCTCGCTCAGTGAACGGTCTCTCCTGTTGTTTGACTGTTACCAGCTGGGTTGACGCTGCCCCAAGGGTCCCGCAAACAAAGACCGCCAGGACCAGGCGCTGTTGCCCACGGGTTTCCTGGGACGGGGCGAGACAACACCCTGACCGGCCACCGGAGGGCATGTGCGCACGCTCATCCCTCTGCCGGGGCTGTGATCCACACCGTGTACACACGCACACAGCATCACAGCACAGGCATATACACATGTACACACACACACAGCATCACGGCACAGGTGTGCACACACATGTACACACGTACACACGCATACAGCATCCCAGCGCAGGCGTGCACACACGCACATCTCAGCAGAGGCATGCACACACAGTCACACAGCATCCCAGCACAGGTGCGCGCGCACACTCACACCTGTGTACACACACACAGCATCACAGCATTGGCGTGCACACACACTCACACACGACACAGGGATGGGTGCACACTCCCTTGCACTCACACAGCCACATGCCCCTTGCACATGCCTGCCACGCAGGACGAGAAGCCAGCGCCACGCAGCTCAACCTCCATCCCACAGGAACGAGGGGCGCGGTGGGGGTGTCTGAAGCCGCGCGCCGGGGCCACTTGTCATGTGGCGCTGAAAACGACGCAAGGGCGAGTCCAGTCCTGCGTGCGCCGAGCCAGGAGGGCGCTGGCCCAGCCCTGGGCCCCACCGTCCTGGCCTCCTTTCTTCCAGAATCTCCTCTCGGCACGCGAGGAAGCGGCCCACCCGCCCTCGCTGCTGTCACCCCCCATCCCGGTCAGCACCTGCCCACAGACGCCGTGACCTGGGCCTCCTCGCCGAGGGGGCAACGGAGCGACCTGCGCTCTCACAGGCAGGCTCCGCTGGGGCCGGGGCGGGGCGGCCGGCCCTGCCAGCCGGTGAATGAAGGTTTTTAGTCTGGGACAAAGCTCTCCCTTTGAGGACTAACTGCCAACAGGGAGTGCTTTGTTTTGAGTAGAATTTAAGATGATTGCCGGGGAGACAAGGGGGGAAGGCGACACCGCGGAGGCCGCGCCGTGCAAACCCGGGATCCTACGGAACAGCTTTTTTCCCCACTTGTTGGCAAATATGGACGCATCTCGCGCTGACACTGAAATGTCCTGGTCTCGGGTTTCCCGGGCAGGCGATCCCCTCAGAGATACGCGCGGACATACGTGGGTCCTGGCGCAGAGGAAAGGCCGCTTCTCACTTGTCGGCTTCCCAGGGGTTATTGTCGTTGGAGAGAGGAAGCCCGTCCTCAGGACCCAGCCAGTCCTTGGGACCCAGCCCTGGGCGGGGAGAGGCGGGGGACGCGTGGGGACTCTGCAGGCTGAAGCTTCTGCTCAGAAACCAGCCCGCGCCTGGAGACGGCCCCTGCTGACAGCCGCCCTGCCCTGCCCTGCCCGCCCCCACCCCGGGGCCCGGGCGCTGACCACTGCGCTCCTGCCCGTCAAGGCGCAGCTCCCCACCTTACCCAGAGCCAAGCGCCCAGACCTGTGTTCCTGCCTCAGGGCCTTTGCACAGCCACTCTGCTCCCTCCACTCCGGATTTTGCTTCCCCAAATATCCATCTCCCTGCCTCCGTTCCTTCCAGCTCATGCTCGAGAACGTCCCCAGAGGGGCCTCCCTGATGCTCCCCTCTCCTCTTTACCTGCTGGATCTCCCAGGTTTTGTTCTTACTTCTCTCCCTCTCTGCACGTCGCCCCTGGCCTGTGCAAGGATTCAGGTCAACTGAGGAACAATTACAGCGCTGGGAAGCTCCCGTCTTGGTCCCTGCCTTCCTAGGCTGCTGTTCCAGGGCAGGTTCTGGATGCTTCTGGATGCTGCAAGAGAGGGCGTGTGTCAGCAGGCAGGGGTGGGAGCCCCTGCTCCTTGCCTCCTGCGTCTGCCAAGAGACCCGGTAGGTGCAGGTGCCGATGACCTGCTTGGTCGTAATGGTGGGACCCTCCATTTGTCAGCTGCCTTTTGAAGCTCATGGGCGTGGGCTCCAAGTTACGGTCACTCCTCAGTGACCTCAGCCCAGGGAAGGGAGTCATGACACAGATAATCCCGAACAGCTGCAGACCCAGCCCGGTGGAAGCGCTGAGAACAACGCTGGTCCGGCCTGCCCTTGGTCCTCAGCCCTGGGCGAGCATTGACACCGCCTCTGTGTTTTAATGACTGTTTCTCATTGCATGCAAAGCTGTTCTCCTGCAGAAAAACCTTTTCTCCCCTAGCTGCTATTGCAGGAAGAATATTCTTTAATATTTTTATGAACTTAAGTACCCTTTCTTTACTAAACTAGGACTTACACAGGACACATCGGGTCAGTGTTTTGACAAATGCCTGCCATGGTGTCACTGCCCCCGTTAAAATGTCAGGTCATCCTGGACCCCAAACTCAGTGGTTTCCAGTTTTCTGGCCTAATCCGCACAAAGACCCAGAGAGGCCACTTGCTGTTGGCACCAAAAGGGCGGGGGCTCCCACCCCGAGACCCCTGCCCAGCACGGTGCTGGCGTGACGTGGCTGCTCCGTGCACGTGAGTCGAGCGGCCGCCTGAGTGGCCTGGGGTTACGTGAGTTTGCAGAAGAGCAGACCCGCCCGGCTGACGGAGGCAGACCCGCCGCGGCCACTAAAAGCCGGTGCAGGACGCCCTCGGGGGCGCGGTCACCTGCGTCTCCAGCCCCCCTCGGGGGCTCAGCGCCAGAATGCCCTCGTGTGGGACTCGGACGTGCGTGGGCCAGGGCTCAACGTGCGGCCTCCGGAACCCACGGGCTGTTTCCCCTTGGTCCCCAGGGTCATGGGCATTGGTGGAAAGGACACTGGGGCTGGGAAGGAGGCCCACGGGCCCCCCTCACCACAGGGAGGAGAAACGGGTCCCTTTCTCAGGTCCAGTCCTGACCTGGCCAACGTGCTGTGCAGCTTCACGCACGTGTCAGGGCGTTTCTGGGCTCTTGTTTCTTCAACTATGCAACCAAGGAGGGGCTTAAGCCTAACGGGCCCCAGTTCCTGTCGCATGGCCGCTATGTTTTATAGGAATGAGGACTTTCCGGACCGCAAGTGACAGAAAACCCCACCTGCACTGGGTTAGGAGAGGACAAGGGGGGCTTCCTGGGCAGTTGAAGAGCTGGGAAGTTTGCTGATTCAGGTACGGCTTGATCCAGGTGCTCTGGCAATGTCGTCTTGACTCAATCTCTTGCCACCACCACCACCTTCTCTTTCATCTCCCAGCCCAGGTCACCTTTGCTGGGCAAACCCACCCCATTAGAGCCGAGAAAGCATCATAGGTCCCTGCTGCCTCCTGCACCCCCAGGGCTGAGACCAGGGTGCTGCCAATCAAGCAGGAAGCCAGAGGGCTCCTGGGCCCGGCTCCAAAGCATTCCCCCATCAAATCATAAGAGCCGCCGTGGAAATGGCCAGGAAGCCCCACAGCCCTTTCAGAGCGGATCTTGGGTGGGCCGTACCAGTAAGGATCCTTCTAGATTGGCAATGTAATCTGACCTTAAGTTCAACCCAGTTTAATGAGTGTGTGAGGCTGACAAAGGCCCGGCATGGCCTCTGGAGAGGCTTTGGGGTGAGGCCTCCAACACTGGGGCTGGCCCTGCCCCGTGACCTCAGGTCCCCTCCCAGTCCCCACGGAGCCCACGGGGGCAGCCATAGGGCGGCCGTTTGGGAAACAGACCGAGGCCCTCTGAAGGAGGAGGAAAATGCTGAGAACGGGAAGCAAGTGCCGCGGGCGGGAGAGTCCGGCCACTCAGCTGGACTTCAGGGAGCCCACGGAGGCTCGCGTGGGGCCGGCTGCTCTCCCGTCACTTGTAGGTACCACTGCCTGGCTGGGGCACGTGGGCAGGAAAGACACATGGAGAGCTCACTGGGTGCCCGGGAGAGATGGCTCAGAGGCGCCCCCATCCAACCGAGACAGTGGGTGCAGGCCCAGCTCTGGTCCTGCGGCTGGGGAGCCCACCATGGGAAGGACCCTCCCCACAGGGTGTGGGCCAGGAGAAGCCCCAGGCGGTGCCCCCCGACTAGAGTACAGATCAGCCTGGTTGCTCACCCACGTCACCCGTTCCTCGTCCCCACAACCCCGCTCTTCCTGAGATGTGGTCCCCAGATGAAGACCCCACCCCCACCCAACTGAAAGGTCTGTGACCCCCTGACCAGGGCCTGCACTTGCACAAGGTCACTGACAGGATGGACTTCGAGGGCCGGACTGCGCCGCTCCTGCAGACGGTCCTGCTCCCTATCTAGAAAAACCTTTAGAGAATGGAAACTCCACTCGAGGGGTCCAGGGTTCCCCTGCTGCTGGACCCCAGATCTATCTGGGCGCAGCCACATGAATGGCCTCTTGCCTCCATCTTTGTGTGCCGGGCCCTAATTTCCAGGGTTTTCTTTACCCAGTTGCTCTTTCCTTATGAGGCCCACTGGAAGGCCAGGGTCAGCCCAGGAGTGCAAACTGATTCCTGCCTTCTGGCCTAGCCGAGGAGACTCGGGGCTTCTGTCACTCTCAGCCGGGAAGCCCATGTGGCAGGGTCTGCTGCTGCCTGATCTTGGGAGGAGAAACTCGGATGCAGGCAGCCCTGAAGGCACGTTCCAGCCTCCTGGGTTTAGGGCTCCCTTCCAGGCCCTCTTCAGACACTATGTGTAAACAGTATCTTCCAAAGCAAACCTCCTGCCCCCTCACTTCCCTGACCCCCAGCGCCTCCCTGACCCACAGCACCTCCCTGACCCCCAGCACCTGCCGTCAGGATGCAAATGTGATATGGCCCCGGGAGGATGCATGCAGCCCCAGCCCCCCCAAGCTGGCCTCCATCACTGCCTGGGGGAGGTGGGCGCCTGCACCCTGACGCACACGGTTCACTGGGGGAGGCCTGGGAAGGCCAGGCAGCGGAAACTAGAGGGAAGCTGTGATGGGGCCCGTGAGAAACCAGAGAGCATGAGCACTCCCTGAGCTCAGGTGTCAGGCCTTGTGGCTCCTGCGGCTGCTAAGGTGGGGGTGGGAGGGCGCCAACTCCGTGCAGGACTGTGGGTTCCGAGAGCCTCTGTCTGCTGGCAAGAGCTCTGCAGAACTTGGGGAGAAGGATCTGGAGTTGGGGGGGCTGATAGGGCCAGAGATGGGGAAATGGGAGGGGAAGGTGGGTGCTGCATTGGTGCCCAAAGACAGGCACAGGCCCTGGAACTGCTGGGCAGCACCTGGCCAGGGTATCTGATGTGCCCAAGTGGGCTCTTTCTAGAGACTTGTACAGCGGTGCTTCGACTAACTCATCCCAGTCAATGTCTCCTTATAAACTTGAGGAGGAAAATAAAAAACCAACATCAGCCAGTGCTGAATGAAACAAAGACCTGGGTCTGCCTGCATTATTCTTACTGAGGGGGTGAGGGGGACTCTTTGCGTTTGCTTTTGTTGTTTATTTGGGGTTTCATGGCAAGACAGAAGAAAAAGATGGGGCACAGGAAGACTGAACAGGCTTTCAGAATCACCTTCAAACTCATCCTGGGGGCAGGGCCGGGGCAGATGGCATAGGGGTCCTGCGGGGTCCTATTCCTGGTTCCAATCCAGCTACTGGCTACACACCAGGGACTGGATGTGAGGATCACGTGGGAGGTCAGTGCCTGCCATAGAGTATGTGCTCAATAAATGGGAGGACTCACAAAAAGCATTACCATCATGCCAGTAAGATTGATTTATGTGGAAATAGTTCTACCTCAGCTGTACCACTGTCCCAGGTTAATTCAAGATGATGTATCTGCCCAACGCTTGGGTATGAAAAACGGAAGAGTAGAGCAAGAGACAGGGTCAGAAAGGACCCACCCCCCACCCAGAAAGGCCGTCCATCTGCGTAATGAGAACCCGAGAAAGAGGAGCATGGGGGACATGCTTGGGGGTGGGGTGGGGTGAGAGACTCCAGATGGAGAGAGGGGGATGGGGGTTGCTTGAGGATGTGGGGATAGAGAATTGGAGAAATGAGGTTATGGGTGTGATGTGGCTCCTCTGTTGTTCTAGAGATGTCAACGTTCCTGCTTAAGAATTTCTGGCCCCTGCATTGTGCTTCCTTATGTGAGATTCTGCTCCAAGACCGGGCCGCAAGGAGTCCCAGCTTTCAGGAGGGTTACACTGTTGATTCCTTTTAGGACATGTGATGCAGAGGGGCATTCAGGTTACAGTGGGGTCCGAAGAGTCAGGGAAGTGAAGACAGAAAACAATCTTAGGAGCCAGGCATGAAGGAGTAAGCAGCTGATTCAGGATTCTCGACAACCCAAGAGTCCTAGTAATGTTTCCCCTGGGTAATGACTTGTCCTGAGCTGCGCGAAAGGGCCATTATCATGAGCCAGCCATGGACTCCTGCCTTTTGCATGTTCTCCCTCTGAGCTCTGAGGAAGAGAGGGTCTACTAGTTCGGCCTTCTCCAGCAGAGCTGCAATCCCTGCGGTGGGCCGGGGGTCAGGGGGACTAGGAAGGGCACAAAGCCTTCTCAGCCACGCCTCTAGCAGCTTCCTTTGAGGTAGCCATGTAGCCCTGGCGTGGAAGTCATGATGGGCCACTGGGATCCCACCTTGAGGGCTATGAGGGTACCAATGGCTGACAATCCTTAGCTGACTCCCTCTCCCAGAATCATCCTTAGCCCCTGACAGCCAGACCCCCAAGGTCAGGTCCTTCATGGTTGTCCACATTCAACAACTGGCCAGTGAGAAAGTATAAAAGCCCAAGACCACTGCCCCATGCTCATGGTCACTCCACAGGGGGCCCCAACTCCAGAGCTCCTGAAAGGCTAGTGGAGGACCTTGTTGTGACGGCACCACCGCCCAATGTCTCCAGCCCATGTTTACCCTGAAGCACCCCCAGAGAA